AAAGAGATGTCTATAAAAACCAATCTATTTTACCAATAACTTGATGAGTTTTGATTTCTGATCCTTATTCTTTTATTTCTCCCCTCCATTAATTTTTATTTCTCCCCTCCATTTTCTTTGTCTGTGAAGTTACACTTCTCTGTGTGTCATGCTGATCTTATAATTATCCTATGATGGTAGACAAAATTTAATTGTGGCTGATAAGCACAGAGAAACACTGCTTCTGCCTTATTCAACACCAAATCTATGTAGTGCAGTCTGTGTATATGCATGCATGTATCCATATAGAAATCCCCCAGCTAGTCCTCTGAGTCAAAATGCAGCAGCTTCTCCAACAGCATCCAGAAATATTCCAAAATGTTCATACCAGTGCAAGGTTTGATTTCACATACCATTGCTATGGAGAAAAGAAAGCCAGAAGGCCACTGTCTACCAAGACCCAGCTGAGTGGCTTACTGCACAAATCTGCAATCTAGATTCAAAATTGACCTAAAGAGCAGTTTTGCACTCAAGTGTACCTAGTGCTGCCTCACAATAAAGGCTAACTTACCTCAATGTACTGAAACAAGTAGGGTGAATCCTGGCCATATTCTTTTTTTCTCTGATGGTCCTGTAACATGCAATTGTACTCTTGTATGCGAGGACAGTGACTCAAGAAAAAGGCCTATTCCTACTTTGTGACAATGATGAATCACTGCAGAAGTGATCTTTAGGGTTCAATAGGGCATTGAATCAAATTTCATCATCTTTGCAGCAAATAGTATTAGAAACAGGGAACAACCAAGATCATCAAGCAGGGATTTGTCTTCAGATTTTCATTGGTAATATAACCTGACGGAAGCTATCATAGAATCACAGAATGATTTGGGTGGGAAGGGACCATAAAGATCGTCCAGTTCCAACTCCTCTGCCATGGGCAGGGACACCTCCCACTAGAATCATAGAATGGTTTGGGTGGGAAGGGTGACCAACAGTGTCCATTAGGAGATCAATTAAAGTTCTTTCATTTTTAAAAATGATCTTCCATTTCTCATCATCCAGTGAAAACTGTAAACTGGTATTTCTGGAAAGACAGGGAAATGAAAGGAAATGAATGATGCATGACTTAAGAATATCTTAATCTTATGTTGGTATTGATGAAATAATTCTGAAGAAAATAAGGGAACTTGTATAATCTTCTCTTAGAAAATCGTTTAAGGTATATTTGTCCAGAATAGCTCCAATGCTGAGATCAAGTCAGATAATCAACCTAACAGGTTTGTTTGAACATTATTGGAGGTTATCCCACTTCAAAATTTAGTATGAGAAAACAGATTAGGGAAAACTCAGTCTGTTTAGAATTATATGAAGCTTTTTGATCTTTCATATGAGCAATAGATTTAAATAAGTTTTTTTTTTAAATTCTCTCCTACTGTAATTATGTGGGATTGCAAAACTTAATGTCAGTTAAATTACAGCAGCAGTTTACTATTACTTGTCTCTTGACACTATCCTATACAATCAAATATTTTTCATGTTATGCTTCAGAAGGAAGAGCTAAAATATAAAATGTGCTCTGAATGCAAACTAGAATGTAGAGCTTGAAAGATAAAAAATTAGTTCAACATTATGACAAAAGTGTATTATTTTTGTTTGTGTGGGGTTTTTTTCCCAAACCTTTCTGAAAAATATGAGTTTTTATTGCTGATAAAAATTTTGCAGTGAAAGATATGTTTTTTTTCTGGAACAATGCTATGTTTTCAGAATAGA